TGGGGGGGGGGGTTACCGTTGGTTGCTGATTGGCTAATGGTTACACAAGCCAAACATCGTTATGACATCATAAAGTGGCCAAAATCTGATCAGCTCATTTTCAGACAGGTTTTTATAGAAATGGATCAGGAAAAAAAGAGAGAATCTTTGTTCCTGAAACTTTCAGAGTCTCTTTCCACAGAGGGGACACATGTTGATGTAGAAGAGACATGAACAAGTGGATTTTGCACAATAGGTGACCTTTAAGTCTTATAGGTTGGCTTTTAGTCACAGTAGAGACACTAAATACATTTATGACCCTGAAAATGAGCATCATATGAGAAGCTTTTGAATCAGCAACGTGAGCTGAGAGTAAAAGCTCTGAGTAAATCTTCCACGACTGCGAGAACAAAATGTATCGCTTAGATTGAAATGTTACAGCGGGCCTGAGCCATGTTTTAAAAAGTGTGTTTTTGGACTCTCACCCTGCAGCTTCTTCAGCACCGCCACCTCCATCTTCAGCACCTGTTTGGGCTGCTGGGCCGACTCCACCTTCAGCGCCACGTTCTCCCGCGTCAGCAGGTCCAAGGCCTCGTAGATCTCCCCGAACCCACCTCCACCGATCTTCTTCAGCTGGGGACAGGACGCAGCAGGTACAACTTTAAAACTGGGGTAGCAAGACTTCCATCAGACTAGAAACCATTGTAAAAAATAACAGATTTAAGCGTCTGGGTTCAGCTGGAAACTACAAGAAACATTGAAGCCTTTTCAGTGAAAACAGCTGTTTGTTAAATAGCTTTACTTCCCTTTTTTATAATAATAATAATAATTATAATATAATAATACATTTATTTTGGGGGGCGCCTTTCATAACACCCAAGGACACCTTACAGGGTTAAAAATTTACAAAATTAACATTTACAATTTTTTTACAATTTTACCTTACAAATGAAAACAGTGGATTTAGTGAAGTATCAGCCGGGGTAAAACAAGACAAACAACAGGAAATTGACTACAAAAGGACACAGGGTACAGATTATAAAGAAAATGCCAGTTTGAACAGGTGGGTTTTGAGTTGGGTTTTGAATGTTGTTATGGATTCAGACTGTGGGATGTGTAGTGGCAGGGAGTTCCAGAGTCTGGGAGCCGAGCAGCTGAAAGCTCGAGCACCCATGGTTTTGAGGCTTGGGACGGTGAGAAGTCCTACGGACGATGACTTATGATATGTTTCTCCCCACTTCTTTCTCTGTCTCCCATCTTTCTTTCCCCCATGACTTTGACTGTCTTTTATCCATTCCTTGCAACATTCTCTTGAATCATATGTCATTTCCTTGTTGCATTATTATTTATTGTAAAGTCCAAAGTATTGTGTGAGTTGCACTGTAGCAGAAACCTACAATACAAAAACTACAACATAGCTATTTTCCATATGACCATAACACCTTTGAATTTCAATTAAATCTTTTGTATTCTCCCAAACTTCCTTTGCATCTTTAAATGCTTCTCACCTCCTTGATTTGTGGTTATTTTTACCACCTTAATCCCCTTTTCAAGTGAAAATTCGAGTGTGAGCTTGAATTTTCAGATAGGTAGATGAGGTTTAAAGAAAGGTTTCACTTCACCTTTTTCCTTTCCTTCCATGTTTTAGTCTTTCTTCCTCTTTTACCTCATTTTCTCACCTTATTCCCTCTTCTACTTGTCGGTTACACACACACACAATTCACACATATATGTATAAATATATGTTAGCATGTTGAAGCTCTGTGTCGGTTCAGTGGTTCAGACAGTAAATGGATCAGTGAAGTGCAAACACCCTGCAGGCTCCACGCTGCGATGTGATTGGCCGAGACAGGAGCTGCATTATATAACTTTTTATTTCAGATTCAAAAGGACGACAGCGGTGGCTGTTCATATGAATTATATAGAGACATTAGATTTATATGGATTAGCTCTTTAATGATTAAATGGAACACTTTGTCTTTAGTCAGTCTTTAAAATCACAGGTTATCCATCTCAGTTCATGTTTAATAATAATGGATTTGAGTCAAATGTGTTTTATGTTCAAGTGGTAATGGATGAGTAGATATTGCTTAAAGAAAAGCCGGCTGTTGTTTTATCATTTCAGATGTATTTATTTCAGCTGCTTTATGTTAGATTTGTTCTTGATTTATTTGTCCTTATAGAGGCCCTGGTTTTTCCTGTTCCTTTAGTGTGTTATGTTATATCGTTTTATTGTGCATGTAAATGGTCTGCAAAGGCTAAAATCCCAAAGTTCCCTCCAGAGGGAGTTTCTCTCACTCTCGTGCTTCTATTGGCTAGCGCTCCAACACATTGTACGTGATAGGCTAAGGGGCGGGACATCTCTAAGCGGTTGACCAATCACAACAGAGCCGGCCAGCTAACCAATCAGAGCAGACTGGGCTCTGGTTTCAGACAGAGGGTGAAAAGAGGTGCTGCAGCACAGGCAGTATGAGAAAAATAAAGAGCTTTTTGAACATTAAAGCATGGAGACATGTCACAGTAGAGACACTACATACAAATATGAACCTGAAAATTAGCATAATATGGCCCCTTTAAGTTCTCACACTGCATTCATTTCTGAGTAGAGACCAGTTTGGAAACTCCTTAACAGAAATTCATATTGGTGCATTCCTGGACGCTGTGAGTTAGGACTTTTTAGTTAAGAATCAACATGGTCATTTCTTCCATAACAACATTGATTGCCTTTAAGTCTTATAGGTTGGCCTTTAGTCACAGTAGAGACACTAAATACAATTATGACCCTGAAAATGAGCATCATTTGAGAAGCTTTTGAATCAGCAACGTGAGCTGAGAGTGGAGTGGGGAAGGAGTTCCTGACTCACCACTTTCCATCGGTCTTTGACCATGCAGTTGGGCGGCAGGATGTCGGCCTGCTCGGACGTCCCGTTCATGTTGGCGTTGTCCTGGAAGCCGGGGACTAGGCACTGCATCTGCCAGCCAGACAGAACTCGAGCAGCTCCCAGCTTAAAAGAGCCATTTATCTGTTGGGGGGAGGAGGGGGGGAGACAAAGAGGGGAAGGGAGGCAGAAACAGTCAGTACCTCAAACACACCGTCTACGTGCTGGGAAGCTCCCAGTCTCTAAACCCCAGTGCAGTCTGAGTTAACAACAGGCATTAGAAATGGCTGGCTGCCATTAGAAGCCATTCTTCAGCTGGATCAGGCTACAGGCCGGTGGGGGGGGGGGTTAGGGTTGGGGGTGTGATGGTATTTGCAGTAACTGGAGCAAATATCATGTGTGCAGAGGAAGCAGCCGGACACTCGCTGACTGCTGGACGGCCCGACGGCCAATCGGCTGCTCCGAATCATCAGAGATCACAACGCTCTGGTTCCTAATCGACCGACTGAACTAACAACCATCAGCATCATGAGCTCATCCAAAAAATGTCTTTTACAGCAGTGAGACTTGCCAAAGACATGTCGTTGTACTTTGTACAATGACAATAAAGATATATTCTACTCTATTCTATTCATCATGCTCGTCCAACATGATCCAGCTGAACTGAAAGAGGCTGATCTGGAAAGCTACTCGGATTGACTTCATATTATTTTATTACCTTAAGTTTAAAGTCAACATGTTAGGACACTTTAATCTCCGCTTGCTCTCTGATAGTATGATATCCAAAATGATATAATTTCTCATGTCTGTAGATTAAATGTGTAACATGTTCTCAATCGCAGCTCATCTAATGTGGAAGAACTTTGTTAGGTTTAGGAAGATCATGGTTTGGGTTAAATTAAGTATCTTTTAATATAGAGCTGTGTTAAGCTGTTACACAACTCTACTTTATAATAATAAGATCTCAGAAAGTCCTCCAACACTGTCCAAAAGTCACAATATCCACCTTCCTTGTATAAAAATGAGTAATTATTGGCTGTTAGCAGTCAACTAGTTTAAGTTAAAAAAACATGTTGCTTTTACACAAATATTGTTACTACAGATAAACGAACAAGCTATAACATGTCAAATAGGGAGCTTTGAATAACTAGTAAGTGGATTTTGTTACCTTTGAGAATATGTTGCTATCCTTATGCTAAGCTAAGCTAACCTTCATATGTAATGTACAGACATGAGAGCGATCTGAACATCTTACTCAAACACAGCGAAACACTACAAACTTCAGTAAAGCTTTGTTTGACAGGTCTGTTATTTACGAATCATCTCAGTAATAATTTCTTAGGAAACGATTTACAGAAAGATGTATTAACATTCCGACAAAAATGAATTGTTTCGGCTTTCCTCTATATGACTTGGGCGCCAATTTCATTTTGAAACGGGGTGACTAAAAAGTGGTTATGCTTTTAATGTATAAGGATTTATGTTGTCAAAAGAAGATAAGCTATGCAATTGAACTTGGTAATTGGGGTAAAATTGTCCCTGAGTGTTGCATAGCAGGTATAGTCTTCACGCCCAAGTGAAGTAGTGCTCCAAACAAGCTCCATAAATGAAATGGTTAGACTGGTAGCCTGGATGAGCTCCAGTCACGTTATTAAATCCTTTTTTTTTAGATTCAAGGAGTTCGTTGGACACCAAACTTCTGGAGGGTGATCTCTGCCTGAGAAGACGACTAAAGGGGAATTCAAGTCCCACAGGTCTTTTTATATATGTGTGAAGAATGATAAGATCTGAGCTCTTATTGGTGGTTGTACACTTGAATATCTTCTGCAAAAAGGGCTATTAGTTATATATAAAAGCGTGTTTTCTGATTTGAGCCTTTGATGGGATCATTGCAAAAACTTGGCTGTGGTTAAAGTGGGTTAATTATTGCACTGAAGGAGCTGATTAGTCTCCAACCATGAAGTCTGTTCCTTCACGCTGAATATGGATTAGTAGAGGAGGATGTGGTGGCAGGCAGGTTCCTCACGTAGCATCACTCTGACCGCCTGTGAACACCTGTCTGTCACTTCATCTGCAACCTAACCTGATAACAGTTTGACTCTGCTCTGAAACAACATGTCTGCCATGAATGGTCGTCAGTTTTCAGTGGATTCGTGGGGAAATTTGAAGTTCAAAGTGATGCATGTCAGTCCCCAAACCATGCTGTTCTGCATGCAATGCCACGGGCCGTCATCAGTGCATGCAGATCTCAGGCGGCCTGCAGATAAAATGGAGAGTGTCCGCTGTGTTTCCAGTCAGACCAGCTCTGACAGAGGACTGGACGGACTGGGAAGGAGGGGAGGAGGCTTCTCTGCAGCTGCGTTACACACAGATATGTGTAAACACAGCAGCAGCAGCAGAAGAAGCACCTTCATCATCAGCTGAGCAGCCGCCAGCAGCTGGGATCACTGTAACTCTGGAGAGTGAAACCTGCTGCAGGCCTCAACTCGCTGCTGAGCCGCCAATCACTGCAGAGGGCGGGACCTCAGAGCTCCTCTGAAAACACTGCAACACCAAGTTGTTGTTTTTGTTTTTGCTTTTCTTATCTTTCTCAACCTTTTTTCTTGTGCTGTATCATGTTTTTTGTGTGTTTCTATGCAGGTCACTTGTAAGGAAGTCTAACAACCAGCCGATCAGAACTGATAAATTACATTCAATATAGTAGTATGATGTTTTGTTATATAGTGAAGTATAGTTATAGTTATAATTCTAATAGTAATGAATAGTAGTAGTACAAAGCATACTGTAGCAACACATCTGATTGTTTTGTATAATCAAAAGCAAAGTATGATATACAGTTTAACTTATTATATCATATAGCATAACAAAGTGAAGTGTTGATATCAAATTTAAAGTATCCTATCTTATAGAGAGGTGTGTGTGAGTAGGAGATTTACAAAGTAGTACAATGTGCATGTATTATACTATATAGTCACTATTAGTATCATATATATAGTATTGTACTATAGATTTACAATATATTACAGTAATGTTAAGCAATCAGGTTCGTATAAAACATGAATCATATCATGTTTTGAAGCATTGAGTGTGTTTTATAGTATATTTTGTATTGACTAACATTCGACTCTTAAATGAACAAAAATAGATAAATTACCGTACTTAATATGAATATGTTTTCCCACTGCCTGTAAAACAGGAAACTGACTTTCCCTACAGCAGCAAATAATATCAAATCATTGTGGAGTATTGTATTACGATATCCTGATGTGTTGTATCATCTCCTGTTGTTCTATTGTTTCCTAACCTACAGTAAAGTATTGTTCAGTATAATATTGACAACTGGTGTGTAACACAAGTCCAAACGAGAGAAACTCTGAGGTCCCGCAGCGTCTCTCAGCAGATCAGAAACATCCTTACAGACACTTTCTCTACCGTCAAACCTCAGTCTGCGCTTCTTCTTCTTCATCACCACCACCTACAAGTCTACTAGTCTGTTACTGAGGGGGAGGGGGAGGGGTGATCTGCCAGAAGCCGGTTTTGCATCATTCCAGTTTTTTTTTGATCTGATGATTCAGTCAGAGCTCACCATAGTTCTGAGCTCCCGGAAAACCTGACGGCTTACAACAAATCCTGAGCGGGACAAAACCCTTCCTGTTCCTGTGTTAGCCTACAAGCCAAAACAAAGGGCACAGTTTTTACCAGGAGAGGAGACAGAGGAGGAAGGCTCCACCAGTGACATCACAGGGGGGAGGAGCTTGGAGGGACACGCCTTCATACACCGGGTTAAAGAACAACAGCAAATATCCACGAACCGCACCCTTTATCCACGTGAAGCCACATTCACCAAAACACCTTCAGTTCGCCTGCTGGAATAAGAGGATGAGACCGAGGGATGTGACCTCTGACCTCTAGCACAGTGGTTCTACACTTTGTGACGGCTATAGCAATATACACATTTGTAAAATAAATGTAAATATATATATATTTTTAAGGTCGTTTGCTAGCCTGGTGGCCGTTTCAAACTGTTTCACTGTTTAAAATGTGTTCACAAATCGTGCCGTATACACAGATGTTATTCAGATTATATTCATCAGTGCGAATGGGAATCCCTATGATTATGGTTGTTTTTTATTTTGAGAGTGTATTAGTTGTCTCCACAACTTTTTGTTGGCTATCACCTTGTCAATAACTATTGAGGCTGCATAGGGAGTTGTAATTGAAGGTTTTGAAAGCGTTTTTTGTGCAGATGTTGGAGGTCCATAATACTACACAGCACGGAGACTATCTTTTAAATATTTGTGAATATTTCAGAAAGAGGCCTATTTATATTTCACATTAATGTTATATATAAATATTTAATAGCAAGTTTCTTTGCAGCCGTCATAACGCTACTAGAGAGATATATTTTATATGGATCAATATCATCAGTGCAATATTGGATGAGTCACTTCCAATCACCAATACTGGATCCAAAAACACAACAAACTTTATTGACGTTTTAGGATCTTTGGATTTCTAACCCCTAAAGAGGTGCACGACTAGTGAAGTACCTGCAGCTGGAGTAGTTTGAGAGCTAACTGCTAGCTTACTGGAAACACGCTAGCCTTATACAGCCAAAATATCTTTCTGAGCTTCTTCCTAATTCCTTTTTTAACTGCCTCTGATATGTTGTTCTCAGGATTTTTCATGATATAATACGCTAACAGGACAAGCTGCTTAGTATGATGTCTTCCTGTTCGCTTAAAAAACAGTTTACAATGTGCGAGAGAAGCTTTCATAACACAAGGCTTCATACCGAAGTGTTTTGGTGAATGTGACAGATGGAATAATAGAGAGACTAATATCCACAGAACAGTTTCATAATTGTTATCTACAGCTCAGAAACACCAGCAGTCTGAACATATTATAAAACCACTCTACAATAATAGCAAGGATACACATTAAAATCCAAAATAATGTTAAAAGGTAATATGGTATAAACATTGGAGATGTGACTGTTCAAATACTTCTAAATTATTATTTTAGAAAAAAAGTAAGATATTAGAGAGAAACTTTTTCTTTTCCAACCCCAAAAGCAAGAGTCTGTTCTATCTATTAAAACAATACATACATTGTTTTTCAAATAACATTAAATTACATTAAATAAGTAAAGTCTTAATTTTCAGGAAATGTAAACATATATTTTTTCCAATTTGTTGATGTTATCTGTGAATATTAATGTATCTGGAGATGTAAAGGGTTATTTACTGTCATCAAAGTTTTTGCCATTAAATCAACTTCTTATGCTGCGTTCACACCGGACGCAATGCGAATATTCGCAACGCTCTAAACACTCGAGTTTCACCACGACTGTCAGCTGTGTTTACTCGCATCATTCAAACAAGACGCGCTGGCTCGAGGGCTACAACTACAACAAAATGAACATATTTTACCGTGATTAAATTGTAATACACGTTTCTAAATGGTGCCGAAGTAACAACATACTGATACCGGTTAGTAAAAACCATGAATTAATGCTTGACAAGTCTGCAGGCGAAAAACCTTTTAAAATGCTTGTTTTCTGAATGTAGATCGGATCGACCAGGCTAAGCTAACGTTGTATATGCTCCGTCCACACTCACAACAACGGCCTATACAGACATAAATAAACCAGCGACTGTATTCGCCATGACACAGGCAGTCTGTGGTTTGTACTTGTTTAACTTTTGTCCAGTTTCTGAACCTATATGAGGAGCTGTGAGCTCTGAGTGCTAACAGCTAACGGCTGATGTTTTGGTTTTCTGGTTCAACGTCAGTTAAGGCAGGCTGAGATCCTCACCGCTGATTGGCTACCGCGAGATCGCGTCATGGGAATTTGGCGCTCGAGTTGAAAAAATTGAACTCCAGCGGTTGTCGCGGCAACCGTCGGAGCGAATTCGCGTCTGTCCGCATCTCTGCATTGACTTTACATGTAATCGCACCGCCCCCAAACATTGCATCGCGTCCGATGTGAACACAGCATTAGAGTTGGATTTTGGCACAAAAATCATTCCGTATATCAAACAGTGAATCTACCATTTTTGTTTTGTTGTGCATGGTACTAACTTCAATTACAACTTGTGAAGTTAAAAATGGGTGACAGCAACTATTAAAATCTCAGATCAGCATAAAAAGTGTGTCGGAAATTACCACTTCAAGTTAAATTAAGTGTAAATATGGGACTTATCCAAGTGTTGTTTGATGGTTTTAAGTTTTGTGCTGATTATGAGATGTCTTCACTATTCGCTTTCATCATGTGTAATAAATGTAAGTGATTCAACACAAATAATTGCTCTCATAAATTACACCTTCAATGAAATTAGGGTTTCACGTCTAAATATTTGAACGTTTTAAGTTTGTCAATGTATTTTTTAAGAGATCTTCCGTTATTCGCTGTCATCCTGTGTTGTAAGTGTTTGTCTAATTTTGGCACTGAAGTTGTTCCGTACATCAGATTTTAATTTTGCATATTTAACCTTTATTACATAATGCTTATTTGTTCTCCGCTGCAAACAATATTTGATTTCTCAAAAAGAAATTGCTCTGTTCAAAACAACAAAGGTTGACAACAAATAACGAGATGTCAGATCAACAGAGAAACATATGTTGTAGAAATGTATATTTGATGGTTTTAAGTTATATATTTGTATCAATGTCATCCATTATTTGCTGTCATCACACGTTATTAGTGTCTAATTTTGCCACTGAACTTGTTCCGTACATCAGACTGTAAATCTGCACTTTGTTACATAATGTCATTTTATCCAGCTCTGCTAACAAAAGTAGATTTATTTTTGTAAATTAAAAGATGGAATATTTAATAGACACACTTCCGCTCTGGTCCAGGTTTACCCCTCCCTCCCTCTCGTTCTCTCTCTGCATCACCCATATTGAATCTTTCCCCTCCGCAGTGCACAGTCATGGGTACACACTGCGCATGCGCACCATCACATCCTGCTGATCGATAAATCTGGCCCGGACTGACCCGAGTTATGAATTAAAGATCAGCACAGAGACACAACCCGGACCAGTCCTGGTCTAGTAAGTGATCATAAGGCCCATAACACCTTTTGATGCAGGATGAATAAATGCACTTGGGTTAACGCATCACTGCGGGACAAACACACGCACACACACACACACACACACACACACACACACACACACACACACACACACACACACACACACTGATGCATGTAGTCCCAGACCTGGTCCGGATCAGGCCTACCTGGCGCACCGTCCGCTCCTTTTCCGCCTTTTGGGAATCTTCATCTGGGATTTTATTTCGGCACAAAACGCCCTGGTCCAGAAAACCCACCGTTCCTCTAGAATGGGGGCCGGGGTTTGGGCCTCAGTCTCCCGCAGGACTAAACCACCATGTATCTCTCCTCTAAATAACAGTCCCCCAAATATCAAACAAGGTGCAGAACACACCAGCTGCAGAACCAGGACTAGAAACAAACAAAGAAATAAAAATAATGTCCCCTTAGAGTCCTGGAGCGCTCGTTAAAAACCTGCAGCCCTGGTCCTCCTCCGGTTCTCTGCAGATAAGGTGGAGGAGGAAGAGGAGGAGGAGGAAGATGGGACGATGCGGGCTGGTCCACCTCCTGCAGGACCGGGATCCGGGAGTCAAACCCGGGACAGAAGCAGATGCATAAACCCGTGTGAGGTGGACCCGGGCCGGCTGTCACAGAGGCGGTTTTGTGGCAGTCGGGTTCTCCGGCTCCAGCCTGTTTGTCCGCACTGCAGAGCCGCATCCACCAAACCAGCGTCACCGCGCACAGACACAACATCCGGTGCAGGATTTCAAAATAAAACTCACTCTGATGACAGCTGAATTTACTTTAGCAACCTTGACTTCCTAGTTAATCATTCAGAAGTTGACCTTAGTAATTACATTGTATACAAAACATTATAAATATGATTAAATATGTTTTCTTTTGTCTTAAATAAGATAAGTATCAGTTATTGAGAAACTATTCTTAATAAAGCTTAAACATTTAATTATAATATTTAAAATGATTAGAAAGGGTAGGGTTTTTTATATTCAATCATACTTTGTGTATATTTAAAATCTGACCAAGACTTTTTTTTAAATCTGATTTAATTGAATTTAAATCAGATAAAATATCAGTTGATACGCTATTTTTCTAAATAAGTTAGGTGATTGTTAATGGTCTCCCCCATGACAGAAAATATTAAAATGGCCATTGTGTCTCCCCAAATGTAAATATGATTACTTCAAATGTTTCATTTCTTGCTAAATTATTCCCCTCTGTGTCTGCACAGCTGTTCACTGTATTCCCGTTTAAATCGTAATGTTTTCTCTTTTACTGCTTTTACTTATTTCTCTACTTTCTTTTTCTTTTGGCTGCAACAACCTATTTTCTCCACAAAGTCTGATTAAGTTAATCCTCTCTAGTGTCACATAATTTTTGATTATGTGAACAGCTTCAATCTCCGTAGTTATTGAAAGGTCACCTAGGTGCAAAATCCCCTTTTTCATGTCTCTTCTACATCAACACGTGTCCCCTCTTCTTCATGTCTCTTCTACATCAACATGTGTCCCCTCTGTGGAAAGAGACTCTGAAAGTTTCAGGAACAAAGATTCTCTCTCTTTTTGTCCTGATCCATTTATATAAAAACCTGTCTGAAAATGAGCTGATCAGATTTTGGCCACTTTGTGATGTCATAACGATTTTTTTGGATTGTGTAACCATTAGCCAATCACCAACCAAGGTAGTTTTTAAATGTTGTATTTTTTTACAATATGAATGTCTTGATATTTTATTATATATATATTGCAGTATTGATTTAATTTCAGGACACATTTGAAGCTATACACTGTTCAGACCTTTCAACATAAATACCTAAACTTTCAAAAATACATCAACGTGTTTTAAACATCATTTTTTTTGTATTTGTAGTTTACTATATATTGTAGGTTTCCCATGAATATTTAACATGTTATGTCCAATGTAACTTTTAAGCTTTATATTTTTATTTAAAATCTAATTATTGTATTGCTTTTTATTGTATAGCTGTTTTAACATTATGGTGGGCCTACTGACTTGTATTTATTTGATGTCCTTATATCAAGTATACATGTTATATTGCATTCTATATTTTATCGTTTAATGTAACTATTGTATTTATTTCAGGACTTAAAAAATACCCCAACTGTAAACAAACCACCTTTAATAGACCTACCTTTCCTGATTTTTTAAAAATATTTATATATTTTTGAATACATTTTACTTTAAATAAACTTGTAGACTTTATAATTAAGTATTTTCTTTATTTTATAGAATACCGAGCGGACGCTGTGAGGTGAACTTATTATCTCCAACTTTACATTGACGCTCCTTTATTTATGATCACAGATAGCAGGCAGCGGTGTTCAGTCCCACCCTTCAACCAGCACCTGAACGCCTCATCCTCCCATTCACCGTCGGGCCTTTCCTGATGTTATTCTAATGTTATTAGAATAACATCTACCGGAGCAGCAGGAGGCCTTTATTCTCAATAAAAGCACCAAAATTCCCAACGATTGTTTCCTGGTTAGCTTCTCATCCGACATCCTGCCTGTGGCCTCACACACACACATACACACACAGTGTCACACACCGACACACACCCCGAGTCTACAGCATCAAGTCGCTTCGGTTCCCTGCTCGATGTTTCGCTGCCATCATCAGATTTAAACATTTTCTGATGTTTTATTTTTAATTGTTCTTACCTAAATGTTGTTTTCTGTCCGGAGCCGAGCAGGATCCTCCTCCTCCACTCCCTCTGCTCCATCTCTCCAGCATCAGCATCACTCAAACACTCAAACACACGCGCACACGCACACGCACACGCACACGCACACACACACACACACACACACACACACACACACACACACACACACACACACACTTCCTTGGTGTCTGCATGTTAGAGCACCATAGCACCCCCTGTTGACATGGAGTCTGTGTAAGTACAGTACTCAGGTATTCATGTAGTAAAAGTACACAGTATTTTTGACACAACCACATGTTTATCATTGTACAGAAGTAATATTTTATAAAAAGCAGTCAGATGATAAAAAAAATAAATAAGTATTTATAGTGACTGCAACGCAGTAGAAATATCGTGTATACCATCAAATGGAAATACTTACCAGTACACCAATACGCTACATGAGTAAATGTACTTCACTTCTGCTGCAGCTCTTTTAATATTTACAAAATAATCTGAATTTAAATTTCACTTACTTGCTTTTTTGCAGCTTTTGTCCACATCCAATCAGCTGTTTGCATCTGTGGGACTTATTAGAGCGCTTTGCAGGTTTCATTTTACCATAATACAGTTATAATAAGAGAGGAGATGCTCAACACAACTAATGATAAACACCTTTTTATATCACAAGCCTGTGAGTTCAATATTAAACTGACCGTAGCCCATTATAGCCCGACTGGTTTTGTAGTTAATGACACATCTTCATCGTTTTAATTCCAGTTTTACACCCACATTAAAATATTGCTCCCATCAATTATTATTATTTTTAAAATCTGGATTATTTTAGTACAGTTTCTTAACACATCTTTAATCTGACCGAGCTCATATAATGCTGATAATAATAATAATAAGCTAAATAATATGATGATAAATGTTAGAAAATTACTTCCAAATTCATTAATTTGTTCCCATGGTCTTTTAGTAAATGCAACTTCCTAAATAAATATTTGTATTTTTGAATGTATATCATTAAGATTAGGGTCTTGTTTTTCTTTGATTACTACATATTTTTAATCTAATTATTTTGTAATGACCAATTAGCCAATACTATAAAAAACCTATAGTTATCTTATATTATTATATATTTTTTCCCTTTAAACTGTGGGTTTTCTCTGGAAGTTTTTCCTTGTCCTTGAGGGTCTAATGATAGAGGGTGTCGTTTTTTCTCATACTGATATTCTGAACAATCTGTGCTATTGTATTAGCTGTAAAGTGTCTCTACTGTAGGCTATTTTTATTATATGTACAGCACTTTGGCTCAAAAATCGTTTATAAATGTGCTATATAAATAAAACTTGATTTGATATTACATATTATCTAATGAGGTGGAAACATTTTATTCAATTTCAATAGAAGAGTTATTAAAAGGGCCCTATTCTGGTCATTTTCAGGTTCATATCAGTATGTAGTGTCTCTACTTTAATATGTCTCCATGATTTAATGTTCAGAAAGCTCTTTATTCTTCTCATACTGTCTGTGCTGCAGCACCTCTTTTCACCCTCTGTCTGAAACCAGAGCCCAGTCTGCTCTGATTGGTTAACTGGATGGCTCTGTTGTGATTGGTCAACAGGGTGTCATATTCAGTACAAACTGTAAAGTCCCCGCTGAGACATATGTAACATTTGTGATATTGGGCTATATAAATGAACTCTGATTGATTGGTCAACTACTTAGAGATGTCCCGACTCTTTGCCTATCACGTACAGTGTGTTGGAGCGCTAGACAATAGAAGCACAAGTGTTACATAACGATGTCACTATGTTCTGGAAGTAAACAGAGGAGTTCAATGGAGGCGTTTCAGGCAGGGGGGAGAGAAACTCATAACACACTACACTACACTGACCATTTGTTCTATAAATGAAAATACATTTTAATATATTTTTTCCTTTTACACATATTTTCATCATGCCCTTTTTTAAATCTCCTCTCCTTTGCTGTATTTGTGTTCACTGTGAAAATTCTGTTCAACATACTTTGTTTATTCTTTTTGTTTTTTTACCACTAACAGGGTAAAAAATAAATAAAACATGATCCGTGTAAATATTTTTTATGCATTACCACACAGAGCTACAGTACAGAAATATAAAAAATATAACACTGGATAAACATTTGAGATGAGTATAAAACTGTATATAAACCATAGAATCTGCTTCCCTTTATAAGTATTTGAGCATTAATGTCTCTACGCAGCGCTGAATGCCGGGTTTGCAAAGTTCCCGTTCTGATCGTCGTTCTCTGCAAAGTCTTCGGGGTCGAGGTCGGACTCGAACATCCGCTGCAGCAAAGCATCCACCGTCCGATATCCTGAGAGGAAACAAGCAGCAACGATATCAGAACTGATCATTAATATACTCTGATCAACAAAGCAGGAACACAGGACATTTTATTTTCCGTCCCAATTCAATCAGAAACTTAGAAATCCTGACAGGCTTTTATAGAAACCCATTTATGGTCCATTAAAGATTTTTTGTTAAATTTGAAAATATAATGGGATCAAGGGAGACAGCAGACCAATAGAAACACAAATTCAGCATTTCCACGATTCAAATCATAAATATTTATACGAGAAAAATAAGGCAGATGCTATTTACAACCGGGTGTCCATAGCTAACAATGCTATTTACACCCGGGTGTCCGTAGCTAACAATGCTATTTACACCCGGTTGTCCATAGCTAACAATGCTATTTACACCCGGTTGTCCTTAGCTAACAATGCTATTTACACCCGGGTGTCCGTAGCTAACAATGCTATTTACACCCGGGTGTCCTTAGCTAACAATGCTATTTACACCCGGGTGTCCGTAGCTAACAATGCTATTTACACCCGGGTGTCCGTAGCTAACAATGCTATTTACACCCGGGTGTCCGTAGCTAACAATGCTATTTACACCCCAGGCTACACGTTAGATACTGTTTTGGATGTATAGGTATTTATGGAAATGTTTATTTGATAACTTCATTCCCTTGTGCTGCTG